ATCCAAGTGGGGGGGGTGGGGGGTGGGGGGGGGCAACTGTTACAATTTTCAAGCCACAATCATTTGAACATGATATTCGCTGCACCTATTCTTTTTCATTTGATAATGGTTCGATTATTCCACTGGATACCTATAATTTTTCACTAGCACAGATATTGAGTAATTTTATCTATTAAAAATTAGGCAGACAGGAAGAAATCGCTTAGAATATTTTTGTTGCATTTGCTTATTTTTTTTAACAAACATGTGCGAACTTATTGCTTATTTTTTTTTAACAAACATGTGCAACTTATGGAAAATATATTAAAATCAATACTTTCCACATCTTTGCAACCCATAAAGTGCTCAATGAACTCTTTAATAAGCTACAACTCATACCACTAAAAGATTTGAACAACTATCCAGTTGTCCTTTAGTAGGGTTTCAATTGTTAGCTACCGTTACTATTAAACAGCTCAGTAGCCCAACTAAAAGAAATGAAAGAAATTGATGCCACATGAAAAGAAAAAAAAGATAAGATCCACATTAATGTGTTTTCTGTTCTTTCTTTTTCTTAATTAGAAAAAGGTCCAAATATATCTCTGAAAGATGTGAAATGGTCGTATCTCCATTAAAATCAGTTCTTGTCGTTATAATTTTAAGGGAAAAAGGCCATATTTGTCCCTCTACTTTAATAAATTAGTCAGTTTGTCCCCAATTTTACTATTGGTCCAAATCCGTCCTTACCGTTAAGATAGTAGATAAAATTATCCCTAACCCTAACAGAATCTACCATGACAATGGACTCCTCACATAATCTACCAACTCGGCAAATTCAAACCCAAATTTTAAAGATTCATGCCCATTGATCCAACTATCCAACCACCTTATGGGTCTCACCTCTCTCTCTCACTCTTTATCTCTCTGTACCAAAGCAGATGAACGGGAGCCCCACCCCCAACCTCACTCTCTCTTCTCTTGCTTCACCAAGTTTTGGTCGGAGTTTCAGACCACTACAAGAAATAAGGGCTGCGACTACATTTATTTAGTGACAATAATAATAAATGTCAAAAATTAATTAGTTTTGTGATATTTATTAAAAATTATTGCTAATATAATGACATTTGATAAAAAATGTGAGGAGTTTATGACATTTTGATTTAAAATACGCAATACTAATAAGAAGTTATCGACAATTACAATAAAGGAAAGGAACTTTTATCTAATGTGTAACTTTTAAATATGTGAAACGAAAGAAATTAGACCACAATGGCGGCTCCGGTGATGTAATTCTTCTAGGTCTCCTTCACTCTACTGCAACGGTCCCATGGATGCCTTCTTGCTGCCCTTTGGAATCCTCTACTAATGGTGCCTTTTCGTCGGCTTCTTTTCTCTACCTTTGTTATCTTCGTCGACGAGAAGGATTGAGAGAGCAAAGTAGCGACTTGGGACGAGATCGGTAGAGTTCAAATTCCTACAGACGATATATTATTTAAAATTAAGAGAAGATTTCCTTCTGAAGTTCGATGCCTCCACTGGTTCGAATATGAATTAGTTCGTCTCTCTTTCTCTGCTACAATCAGGTATCATCGTGATTAATTATTCACACATCTCCGTTTATCGATAATCATACAATTAATTTTAGTAATTTTAAGTTTTTATAGTATGTAGATTTGATGATATTTTTTTTTTTGCCCAAAATTGGTGCTACTTTTATGCCGCGCTTTCATATCTTCGTATGATATACTAGTTTGGAGTGCTTGGTGGAAGGTAAAGATTTTATTTTTTGGTTTTCTAAGTAAATTTCATTTTATTTTCGATAAAGCATTAAGTTAATTTTGTTTGATATTATTTTCCATCTTGCTTTAGAGTAAAAAATATATTGACTAACTCTAATGTAGAGTAATGAATGTTGTCAAGTTTTTCATCTAAATATATTCAACTGATTGATTAGTGGCTCATAGGTCTACTCCACTGTAAAGTTTTATCACTGGTGTCAATTTCTTGGTATTGGGAATGTGAATATAAAGTAACTCTTATTTCAATTCTGACACTAGTTTCAAGTAGGATATAAACATTCTGTGATCATAGTTGGCATTTGGCAAGGTGATGAACTAAGAGTTTTGCTTGATAATGGAGTTTGGATGAAACTGGCTATGCATGTACTTTTAGTTTTGCCTCTAGTTGGTCTTGTTCTAAAAATGTTATATTTATAAGTTTTATTTTGTATTTATTGTGTACTGATATATGATATATATCAAGCATGTTTTATTCAAATGTGTTCTGTTTCTCGCAGGGTTCCATTGCACTACAAAGTGCTCAATTTAGATGTAAACTGGTCTTGGGACTCTATGTTCATTTCTTGTACAGTTAACTTTTGCTGACTGATTATAGTGTGCTCCTTAACGACGGTTGCTAAGGTTAGGATTGTTGATTCCAATATCACCAAATTCAATACTCCACCAACTTTTACCGGCTTGTTTAACATTTGAATTATCGCATATCTCTGTGTCAAGTCATTGACAATATTGGTATTCTCCTTGATTTCTTTAAACCAAATAGTATGTTATTGACTTTTACAATCTTTATGTGGATTTTGTGAGTTAGCTTCATTTGTTATATTATTTGGAATAGGAGATAATTCACTTGGAAAGATAAGTATTGGACTGCAATAACATACAACAACTTCCATTATGTTCTTCCAGGGAATTTATTACTTAAAGTTAGGATTCTGCAATAGTTAGTGGTATTAGCCATCATTTGATCACTACCTCATACAATCTTCTTCTCTCAATTTAGGTGATTATCAAATGGGGAAGTACACAAGCGACTTGAGGAGGAAGCTACTAAAAGAAAGTAGCAGAAGGAATGGAAACAAGAGCTGTGAAGAAGTGAAGAGATCTCTTGTCCAAATATTAGTTTGAATCCAACATTGTTTAACTGTAAAGATGTATAATTATCCATAGTTTTATTCTTGGAATGAATTCTTGGGATCTTCTGTTTTCAAATATTTCATTTTTGTTTAAATTGTCTATGTGAATAACATTTGTGGGTATAATTTGAACTTTGATGGTTATACTTTCTATAAACGAAATAAAATTTTAGTTTCTACATTACAGGATATGTTACATAAACATTAATTAATATTGTAATTTTGACATTAATGGATGTATTGCATAAGTGTCACTAGTCACTCAAATTTTCTCGACACTTCTAAATGTTGTAAACAGAATAAGCTATAAACTATTTAATTGCTGACAGTATAATAAATGTCAGAAAATCTAATATGACATTACAAAAAGAGTTGTGAAATAAATGTCGTAAATTATTTACCGACTTAATATAAATGTCGGAAAATTTCCGATATTGAAATTTACGAAATTTGACCTAAGTGTAAAAATAAATGTCGGTAAGTAATTTTATGACATTTATGGCACTTAATACGACGTTTATTAAGTGTCGGCGTAGCCCTTATTTCTTGTAGTGGACATAGCTAGCCGGAGTCTAGATCTGACAAGAAAAGCTTTATCCGACAACCCTTATTTCTTATTCATCTCATTTTCTGCGTGACTTTCCCCCTAGGGAATGTATTGAAAAGAACCCGTCGAGTTTTGGGCGGAGTTCTCACTCGCCGGATTTTGGCCGACGTATATTTAACGCGACCTTGTTTCTTTTATATTCTGTTGCCCATTCTGCTCAAGTGCTCATTCTTTCATTTTTTTCACAGGTCATCAAAAAATAAAAAATAAAAGGAGTTTCATCTTCAAATCTCGCCGGAATAGTTCGTCGTAGATTTTTTGTCCACTTTTTCTGATTTGCCGAATGTTAGGACCGAAAAAATCAGGTTTCACGTGTAAGCTAACAAAACAAACCTTGAACGATGATAAATCAAACAACAAAGAGAAATATACCAAAAGAGACACAAATATTTAACGTGGTTCCGTCAACTGACCTACGTCCACGGCGGAGATGAGCAATCCACTATATAAAAGAGAGTACAAAATACAACCCCATGAAGAGGCAAACACAAGTGACACACTAACACTTGTCCCGTAAAGTTCTTCCCCTAAACACGACTCTCAAACGCCATATGGCTACATTGTGAATGCTACTAAATGAGTAGGACATATCTGCAATTTATTGAATTTCAAACCTTTTCCTACAAGAAAAGGAACTAGCCAAATATAGAAGAATTATAATTTCCTTCTACAAAAAGGAAAACCTAATTATGGTAAATATGTTGTCCTTTCCTTCATGAGATAGGAAAACCAAATATGGTAAGAAAATCAGGAAAACACCTAACAATTCTCCCCCTTGGCCTGAATTTTCTGACAAAATAAACTTGATCCACCTTCTGCACATAACCTTCAACGGGTCGCGTCCCCAAATCTCCACTACAAAATTTGTCTCAACGTGCGTAGCACACCGGTCAAATTTCTCAGACAAAATCACGATTATCGCCAAATATGTTGTGGCTAGAACTGACCCGCCAAGATAAATCTGACTTGAATCTCGCTCTAATACCACTTGTTAGGACCGAAAAAAATCAGGTTCACGCGGAAGCTAATAAAGCAAACTTTGAATGACGATAAATCATACAACAAAGAGAAATATACCAAAAGAGACACAAATATTTAACGTGGTTCGGTCAACTGACCTACGTCTATGACGAAGATGAGCAATCCACTATAGAAAAGAGAGTACAAAATATCGAGAGAACAACCCCGTGAAGAGGCAAATACAAGTGACACACTAACACTTGTCCCGTAAAGTTCTCCCCTAAATATGACTCTCAAACCCATATGGCTACATTGTGAATGCTACTGAATGAGAATGACGGATCTTCAATTTATAGAACTTCAAATATTTTCCTACAAGAAAAGGGACTAGCCAAATATAGGAGAATTATAATTTTTTTATAAAAAAGGAAAACCCAATTATGGTAAATATGTTATCCTTTCCTTCAAGAGATAGGAAAATCAAATATGGTATGAAAATCAGGACAACACCTAATACCGAAGACCTTCCGTAAGAAATATTCATGGAACTTGTATGAATTTTAATACTAGTTGGTGTTGGGATTCATACAAACAGAACATAAATAAAGCATTTATGCGAAAAATGACCTCATGTCTATTTGAAATGGTGGAAACAATGATTTTTCAAAATCAGTAGAATTGTCAATCCAACTAACATTAAGAGCATAATGAACAACACCAAGAAACCCAACAAAATAAGCCCAAGATGAAATCTTTTGTTTGAATAACTGAAATTCAGTTGAATCCTCAACCACCAAAATTTCATCTTTATCATCCGTTTGTGTTCTTCCCACTGAAATACACCAAATCTTTTTTTTAGGTTTTGAGAAAAATAAAAAATGATTTCTTGGTGTTGGTGGTGGGGTAAGGTGAGACCTATAAGGTGGTTGGATAGTTGGGTAAAAAAAATGGGTATGGGTCTTTAAAATTTGGGTTAAAATTTTCCCAATTGGCAGATTATGTGAGGGGTCCATTGCCACGATGGACTTCTGTTAGGGTTAGGAATAATTTCATCTCTATCCTAATGGTAAGGACTTATCTGGACCAACAATAGAATTAGGGATAAACGTGGCTAATTTATTAAAGTAGAGGGATAAATTTGACCTTTTTTTTCCAATTTTAAGCCACGTGTTGAACAAATGCCATTTGTGGTGCTAATCATTTTCTGTAATTAGTGGAAAAAGACAAATGCAGGCCAGTTTGGTGACAGCGGAGATAGTTTTGACCCCAACTATTAACGGAGAACAAACAAAGACCATTTTGTTATAAATAGAATTGTATTTATGGTGAATGTCTATATTTAGAGAGATTCTAGGGTTTATTACTTGGTGGCTAAGTCACCCTCTCCCTATAAATAGAGGGTCCTATTCTATTGTAATTCATCCAATATCAATAAGAATTCTCTCCCTCTCTCTCTTTCTCTGCAATATTGCTCTTGTCTTTTTATTGTTTCATAACACGTTATCAGCACGAGACTCTAACCAATTGAGTAGAAGCTTTGGGATTGAGCATAATGATTGTCAATTATTCCATGAACTTCCTTCATGATTAAATTCTGGATTTAAGGTAAGTATTTTACTGTATTTTTCTCATTTATTCTATACTTTGATTTTAAATACAAGCAAAGACAACAAAGTTTGAGCATAACTCTAATGGAGTTTTAACCACTTGAAGTGGTAAAATTTTTATGCCTTGCCATGATCAAATTCATGTATGATTGTGGGCAAAGAATTGAAAACCCGTCCCATTGAATTTGCTCCATTCTCATTCCCTTAAGAGAATGTGATAGCAATATGTAATGAGTCTGAAAGAAGACAAAATTATTACCATAAAGGTATCAATGGATGTGAACGTGGTAATAGACGAAATTATAATCGTCATTATCGTGGTAATGAGAATAGTAAGGATTCTCAAAATAAGCCTTCATTCTATGAAGTTAATGTTTGTCATCGATTTGACATAAGATTTCGTAAAGCACATACAGATGACTATGGTCAATTCATGATGTGAATGTGATAACATCTGATTTATGAATACATATTCATTCTTCAAAGAATATGAACGTGCTAGTGGTAATGAATATACCGCACTCACTTTTAAAAGGAGGTTTGAGATGATATAAGAAAATAATGTCATTATTATGGCATGAATGGTCATTGGTCACGTACCTATTGTACGCCAAAATATTTTGGCATTGTGATTATTAAAAGACAACAATAATGCAAGAAACAGATCTTGCATATAATTTTGACCATAACCATAATGGTATAACTTTCTCTTTAAAAGAGATATTCACCATATGGATGTTGATAAATATGTGGTAGTACCAAATTAATTGAGAGCTCTGGAAGAGACAATTATTACTATTTTGGAGAAACACAATTGATTACCAATAAGGTATTGTGTTGTAGTAAGTCTCGAAGAAACTTATTCAGTTTCCAAAGTATACGCGAAAGCGGTTGATTATATTGAGGCTATAAATAAAGGAAAGATTTAATATCTTTTATTACTGCAACTTGTAGCGGGATAATATGTATGCGAAAAGCTACCCGCTTTTATTCTCCAGTTTGTACTACACAAACAAAAGAATGCCACAATAAAGAGAAGTTTATTAATATAAAAACCCATATCATAATAAACTTGAAGTTTATTGATAATTGCACATGTCATGGTGTAAATCTGAAGTTTATCAATATTGATAATTTATTCAGTTGGCATAATTGGTTTAGCCATATCAATTTAAGTATGATGTGCAAAAATAAAAAAGAATTCACATTGGTAAATATTAAAGAATTAGAAAGTTCTTTACGAATTCTCTTATGTTGCCTGTTCTCATTAATTAATATACCAACAAAAATTGGGATTGAATCCCATGAATGCTGGAAATATCAAAGGTGAATATGGGCCCGTTCACTTGCCATGTATACCACATAAGATGCATCTATGAGATGGTTACATATGCGATTATTAATAACCCGCAACATGGTGTTTGCGAGGTAACTTGCTCAATAATTTGATTTAGAGCATAATTTCCAGATTTTTTATTCAAGATAGTTCATCTTGATAAGTTGGTTTACATCACAGTTGGTTTAGAAAAATTTATTGAGTGCCTCCACTTAATAGCTAAACGATTGCTTATGAGAACAAAGTTATATATATCAGTTTGATATACGTTATATACGAAAGTATATTCTTTTCTCCCCTCACAAGTGGTTCAGGGTCAGGAACCAAATAATTTCATCTTATTATTATTGATGTGCGGTGTATATTATGATTAACACCATAACGCACAAAGGTGGATTCTCAAAGTTAAGGTAACAAGTTAGTTTTTCTAACATGAGGGGGAGACACGATTAACAGTTGAGAAAACGTTACATGGAATGAATTATCATTTATACATCTATATCCCCGAATAAAATAATATGAACTTGAAGTTCATAAAAGGATAATTCATTTGCAATATATTGCAAAGCATGCCAGACGCATTTGCTGGCCCAAAGAAAGTAACTATATTCTCATTCCAAAT